TTTTCAACAAACGTTTTGAGTAGCTATGTTTGCAATGCTAATTATTGTGATAGTTTTTTTTAGATTTTTGACATTGGAATATGAAATGTTTTTTAAAAAGGCCGGATTGTGGTAGGAAAGGTATGAAATGATTAGGATTAGCTGAAGCAATAACTTAGACATTGGAAAGAACTTCCATTAAAAAAGTTTATGAAATAAAGCTAAAATAAGATAAAATAAATGAGGTGCTTGGTATATATGTAAGTGTACATGAGGCCAGAAGGTAGAAGAGACGTTTTTTAAAGACGAGACATTAAATTATTCTTCCTCCTTGTTTAAAAAGTTAAGCACAAGCGCTCTTTCCAAAAAGCTCTAAGGCCCCGTCCACACTATGCCGGATAAATTTGAAACCGAATTTTTATTTATTCGGTTCCATCTCGAAAATTCGTTTTCGGTAAAGAATTGTTCCGGTTGGCCCGAACTAGTGTGGACGGTAGGCCTAACCGAATAAATAAAAATTCATATTCAAATTTACCCGGCATAGTGTGGACGGGGCCTAAGTTGTATATTAATGATATCTATCTATGCATAGCTTGTTTATGCATAGCTTTTTTAGTGCCTGACTTCCTAACATTTTATTAGAGTGCGTATATGCAATCACTGGACTACTTCGACGAAACGGCGGACATCTTGGATCGGGATGCATTATCAGCCGTCCAGGGGGAAATGAAGCTTTGCCACTAAAATGACCTCAATTTATATTACAGTTCAATACAAAAAAATATGAATTCAGATAGCACATCGACCACATTTACCCATAAAAGAAAGACAAACACACGAAACACTATCTTTTTGACGTTATATTAATTTATTTTTGTTTTGCCCCATGGAAAGATGGCCGCCGTCTCCACGCTTATGTTTCAAACACAAGATCACTTCTTCTACACTTTGACATTTTATCAATTAGTGTAGATTTACCTATTAATCAGACGAGTATGTTGATTCCTCCCGACACTTCCAAAAGCATTTCTAATTCTGAGACTAGCTGAACTAACTACCGAACCAGTGTGAGAACCTGCTCTTGATTCGGCTTTTATTTCCCATGGCACTTAAGGATACAAAAAAAAAAACAAAAAAAAAAACTCATTATCATCATGATTACCATCACCATCAAAGTGCTTAAAAGTTACTAATTAATGATGATAAAAAGCAGCCTTTACCTGGTGCTGATTTAGTACTTTGTCTAGTGCTTGAACGTCGAGAATCGGCAAATTCAAATTGATTTTCCCAAATTGAATCAGAATATCGGGCTATTCTTGACCCTAAATAGATTAGGAAATAGATTAGTACATTAGTAACAACATATTAATTTTTTTAGAGGGATCGGAGTTATCGCTGGTACGCGATAAACGCTTTTTTTTTCTAATTTTCTTTTGTTTTGTTTATTTTTCGTTTTTTTGTTTGTTTATTTGTTTTTTTAACATGAGGTATTCATTATTTTCATTTATTCACTCAATATCTTCACTCTTATTTTCTTATAACGTTGACTCCGCTTCAAGAACTTAACTGCTAAACAAGCGTGATATATAATATACAGTATAGCCAAGAATAATAATAACCATCATCATCTCCATCATCATTATCAGCATTATCATTATCATCATCATGGAGATGATGATCATGAGGATGAAAGCATTGATGATGATGATGATGATGATGAATCATCTTTTACCTGATGCTGAGTTAGTACTACATTGGATACTTGACGTAAATTCTTCAAATGGATCCTCAAAATATGGGTCGCCGTGTGGCGGTAACACGAAGTCATTTAAGCACATTGATCCTAGGAAGATCCGCGAACAATGCAAATTAATTATTTTTCTTAGCAGAAAACCTCTTAAGAGATCCTGGTGTTTGGACGAGATAAGCTTTCTTTCTAATTAGTATTATTTATAGAAATAATTTATCATTTGTCACTCTCCTAGGTAATAAATAAATTCCATCACTTTTTCTTCTTTATTCTGTTTTTATGCCAAGCACCTGAAGTAAGGGAAGCACCTCCAGTAATTGAAGCACCTCAAGTAATTGAAGCACCTCAAGTAAGTAAAGCACCTCAAGTAATTGAAGCACCTCAAGTAATTGAAGCACCTCAAGTATTTGAAGCACCTCAAGTAAGCGAAGCACCTCAAGTAAGTAAAGCACCTCAAGTAAGTGAAGCACCTCAAGTAAGTGAAGCACCTCAATTAGTAAGCGAAGCACCCCAAGTAAGTGAAGCACCTCAAGTAAGTGAAGCACCTCAAGTAAGTGAAGCACCTCAAGTAAGTGAAGCACCTCAAGTAAGTGAAGCACCTCAAGTAAGGGAAGCACCTCAAGTAAGTGAAGCACCTCAAGTAAGCCAAGCACCTCAAGTAAGTGAAGCACCTCAAGTAAGTGAAGCACCTCAAGTAAGTGAAGCACCTCAAGTAAGTGAAGCACCTCAAGTAAGCCAAGCACCTCAAGTAAGCCAAGCACCTCAAGTAAG